ACATTCTAGGTGAAATTGTTTAGATTTTTGACATAATCTTTAAAAGTTCAAAAATATTATCTTAACTTTAAAAGTAGTCTTTATTAAAGTTTTATATTTAGGAACAAATCCATCCACCCATCTTACTATGATGTACCGTCTATCATAAAAGCTGGCGGCAAACGAACCGTGTGATAAATAATATAATACCACTATAATACCTAAATACCTATTATTATATTGCATACAATATTAACATCATAGAATGCTGTACAATACATACAACCACAGACAATGGACAACGCGTGTTTAAAAAAAAAATCCACTATGGCGGCATAAACCTATACACAATCCACGAATAATATAATAAGTAATCTGTAGAAATAATCTGTAGAGACGGGGTCTCAAACCTGTTTTCACCCTTCACGAACCACCAAAATAAATTTCTGTGTGCTCAGCGACTGTGTGTTTATATCGGGTACCTAGTGCTTTGGTTTTTAAGAAAAAAAATCATTCATTCGTATACGAAGGAATGTTTCGTTTTTGTTATTTTTTTTTTATGATATACCTACAGTATATATATATATAATTTTAATTTATTTAAATGTTATAGGTTACCTACAATAGGTTTATATGTTACCTACATGACGCGATAAGATAATGTCACTCAAACCTAATAACTGCCTAAACCACAGTCGTTTCATCGAGAAGCTAATCTTCGGACCTAATTATTAGTATTATGACTTTCATTTCCGATATAATAAATTATTTATAGTTATTTTTCTGAATGTGTCGTCGGTATAAAGAGTTTAGAATTATACACCTACTCACATTATTGTCCAATATTACCTTTATCATGTACTCATCGAAGCCACATCATTCACTTTCGGACAGAATGCGCGGATACAACTGACCGTTTTTTATGTATAAAGCTTATTGCTGTTTTAACTAAATCACATAGTCATTTATTTACCAAAGGTATTCAAACTGCGCAGACGCTTCGAGGGTCATCGCGAGTATTTTGTCAGAGGGGCCGTGTCATGGGAGAGGAAAAATAGTTATAATGACAGCGTTTATTATAATATTGTTTTATTATAAACGCGTAAAACATGAAATTTCTGTTTTCTATGCATGATTATTGTTAAATTTGCTGTCTGATAAAATATTGTCATAATTCTGTGTCCTTAATATTTTAAAATCCACCAAAATGTTTGTCCATGGATTGACAAAGTTTATAGTGATCTATACTGTATTTAATATGCAACATTAAAATGTTTAATTGTGTATTCGACAAGACCGCTGGAGAACAAGTTTTTGAATTTAGGATACCGTTCGATCAATTTTCAAATCCAATACCGAGCAAAATCCAACTCATTTCCCTCGGTAATCTGATGATCTGTACCGTAATCAGACTGACAGAGTGTACCCAAACTTAGGACATTCGATTGGGTAGGGGAGCGCCGACGTTAATCGTAAAAAACGATCAGATTCGTTCACTTCCTAGTATAATAAACTCGTATACTTTTTTTTGCATTGCACTGAGATATATTAAAGAAACGGTCCGCGTCACTCGTCGTGAAATCGCCTCTTTTCGCGATTACAAAAATTGTAAGTATAATGTGTGTCATGTATTATTCATGGGCGAAGACGACGTCGTATAATATGGTCAAATAAGTAGAAATGATACCTACCTATTCGGACGGAAGAAGAAAATATCATGCTCGTGTGTTGGAATAAGAGAAAAAGGATTTCCGAAAGTGTATGTGTGGGCGTGTGTGTGTTTCGTTTATGAATGAATCTTTGTTTAAAAATAGTATGTATAGGTATTATAATTATTAATATGTATAACTGGTTTGACTACCGCCCAAACGAGTATACGGTTGTAGGGTACCTATGCCCATGTTCTGTACTACTATTATTCTACTTCTCGTGTTCAATAGGTATATAGTGTAGAAGAGCGTTATTATTATAATACGGTAGGTACCTTCAGGTAATAATATTATTATTATTATAATGCATACAACGTATGTGCAACGAAAATTCTTAATGCATAATATTAATAATTTATTGTTCGTTCATAACACATAATACTATACAAAAAACTCGTTAACGGTCTTGCAGATGATAGCAATACTATAATATAAAGCCATACATAATATTATTATTATAACTACACGGGTAATATAATTATTGTATGAAATCAAATTTATCTGAGGATTGTTTATTTTTGGGTCCATTATACGAATGAACCGACCTTTATGATAAACTCGTGTGTATGACTGGTATAAAAGTCACCGTCAATCGAGCACTATCAGGGGTGAAATTGTTTGTCGGTAGGTATACGAGTCATATTTGCATATTATTTTATATTTCGACGTTTGTATATTTTATATCAAAGAAGTTAAATTAAAATGAGGCATGTAAGTGACATTTTATCAAAATCCAGTTCTTATACCGAAAGTTATTAATTTAAACCCTCAAGGCAGTATGGTTTCTCTGTATATGAATCTCGAAAATGCATAATTACAATTATTTATACATCAATAAGAAATCAGGTGCCATTAAATTATGTTTTTACTCATATCCCTTAAAATATAGAAAAAGTGGTATTTTTTTCATCGAACGCCAACTCGTGGTTTTTTAGAGTATCTACCTACGTAATTGTGCATGTTAAAAATAAGTACGTTTTAATATTATTACAGTTTATGTAATTATATAATATAATTTAGATTTCGGATGGTTTCATAATTTTTTTTTTAAAAGCATTTTCAGCGCAAATGATATTGTCGCATGATTTCACTAACTATATCTGGCCTTGTGTAGATGTAATTTGAATCACTAGTAATAACTAAAATATCCAGGTCAATAAATGTTAAAAAATTATAAATAGTTAATCATTATTTTTGCTACCTATATATCATATCAAAACAATACACATAGATATAATATGACATATTGTGCTTGTAAAAATATCATAATCGTTATAAAAATTCTAAGAAATCAGGACGTGCTTTTCAATATTCAAATTGTTTTAAAGTAGTTACATTAGTTGTATGCGAGTGCAAATGTAATTTTTAATTAATTTCCCGTATATAATATGCAGTATTATCTGTACCTACAGTATGCGATTTTGGACAATCATATTATTAATTTTTATATCTGATCGTATAACTTTGTACCTGCATTACTTTTTATTGTTATGTTCTAAAGAATTTTTACACACATATTTTAAAGGTTTTTTTTATTTTTTTTTCACAATGCATAGCCTTGTATTATTTTTAATAATAATTTCAATATTATGATGAGAAGAATTCTATTCTCCAGGGAAAATTAAATTAAAATGAATACCTACTTACCTGAAAAGTAGAAAATGAATAAGTAAACATTATTGATATTTATTTTCACTTTTCCCTTTAACATTTATTCACATTTAATTTTATAATATTTTGTTATTATCATAAACGATTTTTAAATTCTACGTGATTACTTTAGAGTAAAAAATATAATATATACTATAGTGTAGGTACAGTGAAATAATTGAAACATTTTATATTTAAACGAAAAATGTTTTTTCATCGAACGATTTTTTGTTATTTTGTTGTCATTCACAATACACTACTCGTAGACCCCTAAAACAGTTTTCCATTATGTAAATTATTTATTTTTTGTATACACATTGACATTTTCAAAATATTTAGATTAATTCCTGCTATTTAAAATAGTGCATTAAACGGCTAAAATAAGTTGAGAGTTTCAAACAATAGTGGATACCTATATATAAGTTAATGTAAAAATTATTCACACCAGACTACCTTCAATGTGCTTAATATACATGCTATAGGCAGTTATGATAATAATTTCTGGACGTAGGTACCCTTATTTGTGTCAAACGTTGGGTAGATTTTAGTGGACCAACCAGATGCTACGAGTTATCTCAAAGTCTCAAATATAATGTTTTGATGATTAATACGTTTATACATAATAATATATAGAAATAGCCGCATAACCCCTAATGACAACTCCATTATTGTGCATACTCTGAAAGTCCGGATATAAATTGATTATTGTTTTCAATTCGACTGAAGTCGTATTTTATTATTATTATTACTGTTAATAATAATATAATTTTCTTTGCCGGTCAGAAAACTCAAAATGAACATACGTGAATATTTTTCACACGACAACTTAGACTAACTTGTAAGCCGTTCGGTGGCTTCTAGTACATAATATGAAAATAATATAGGTACAATAAGATTTAACAATGATTGATACTATCATTGTTTTTGGGCAGTTATATATTACATAGTAGATATAGCCGTTTAAGTTTACACGATGTTTAGATGTGCAAAACGGTAATCCACATACTAAGATTAATACAGGTTCTGAAAATAAAATACTAAAAAGAAGAAGATAAAAGAAATAAAAAAAAACAATAAAAGATTATACTTAAATGTACCGCAGGCTGGCCAACGATTCAGATTCTTGAATTCATCACACAGTGTAAGCTATGCGCGAGAGACGAGTAGATTATATTATAATTATTACTAGGGAACGGATTTTAATTTAGTATAAAATTAAAAATATTTAAATATATATTTGTTTATTACTTAATAAATATTTATTTATAAATGCATAATATTTAAATATTTAAATTGAAAATAACATAGAATTATTAAATAATTAATTAAAAATATAAAAAAATTAAAAATCTATTCTGATTCATCATAGTCTTCATGTGGGAAACAGTTAGGAACAACATATAGCTTGAAATTTTCAAATGTAAAGTGGCGGCGGTTCGGTCTTAACATTGCTTTGTAACGGCTGAATGACCTCTCCACATCAACAGACGTGACAGGTGCATATTTCATACATATTATTTCTTTTGGAGTGTATTCAATTTCTGAATATTTGTTATTTGGAGTTTTGTTTAATAGTATGTCTCTTATTGACATTACAGTATTAAAACCTGTGTTTTTTTCCAATACATTTTTTAATTTTGAATCGGTCAAAACTCCAATTTCTCAAGGAACCCGTTCTAATTGCTTTATGGCATTATCAACTATTTCTAAGCTCTCCGTTAGTGGCATTTTAGAAGTTTCTAATTTTGAAATAGTATCAACCAAAAATCCAAAATTAGTCGAAATAAATGCTAAATTGTTTTGCAAATTTTTACTGTCTATGAGCTCAACAGTTTTTTTTATTGCTATTGCAGCTTCGGGATCTAAATTTAAGACAACGTTTCTAATCTTTTCAAAGGTATTTGAATAATATAATACAGCTGATAACCACGTACCCCATCGAGTTATAATAGGCTCGGGAGGTAGAGTTAAATCCGGGTACATATCTTTAAATGTTTGTATACGACTTGGCGCTTTTAAAAATATTTTTTTTGATGTCAATAGTGTACATAACAGAGACCTAATCGTATCGCAAAATACTAAAATAAAAATGGAAATTCTTCAATAATACAGAATACGTATATTTATTTGTAAAATAATTAAAATATACACGGAAATTCTACAATATTACATAATTTATGTATTTATTTGTAAAAAAATTTAATTATTCTAAAATATTTAAAAATATTTAATTATTCTAAAATATTTAAAAATATTTAAAATAAAATTAGCATCAGATTACTTGAAATTAAATGAAACGTATACATATATCGAAAACTTTCCGATGCTATTATTACATAAAAATATTTATTTAAATTGAAATCCTTTCCCTAATTATTACTTTAATTTCAATAATATGGCTATTGTATTATTATGCTTTATATATCAAGTTAATTATATATTTTTTTCCAGAAAAGTAAACTCATTATTTTACTTTATAATTTATATCCGATAAATTCCATAATAATTCTAGTATTTATCGTATACAAATATTGTACATTGTACCAATAATTAGTATTGTTTGTTTACATATTATTTGGTACATTTGAAATAGACCGGTAACAGAAGGTCGTTGGTTAATTGCTTTCCAAACATTCTTCGAAATGCAATTGCATTCTTCAATGCAAGTTGTTCTTAAGCTTAGTGTGATTTTTAGTAAAGTAAATTGTGGATTTCGGCAAAATATCGCCGTTTACAAGACAATTTGTTGTGAATGCTTTAAGAACAAAACTTGCCTAAATAATATAGGATCGAGTCCTTTCATAGAATGTAAAATATCTATAGCTACTACTTTTTGCTTATAAAAAAATTGTAACTAATTTTTTAAAACAAAATTATGCAAACACATACATAGAAGTCTCGTCGTGAAATAACAACTATTGCATACCTACTAGTATGTAACTTTAGATGCATTTTATTTTAGTTTAGACTTTAAAGTCCAGTCACTCAACAAAGACCAAAGTGTTAATTTTATTAATGTCTTTTGATTCGCAATAATTACACTGTAGAAATATGTAATATTACCTAATATAATATTTGTATATTTTTACCTGTTAGTTTGTGACGGAATTTTTGGGAGAACACTACTTGCGTCCTAATATTTCATTCTAGGGATAACTTGCATTTCCTAAAAAAACTAAAAAAAAAAATTTGACTATACCTAGGTTTTTACTGTTACTTACAAGGGATATATTTTGTATAAACTGTGTTATTAAAAATACTTAGTTAATGCCCATTAAAAATCATTGAAAATAATAATAAATCTATATATTGTCATAAATAGATAATTTTTTTTATATATAATAATTATAAAGGTTTCCTGACTTTCTCGTATAAACTCAGTGATTATACAAAATGTAATGTACAAAAGATAATTTTTTAACGTTACCAAAAATAAACGAAATAATTTATTATAATTTTTTTAATTTTATATTCTGTATTTTTCAGATAAAAATATTATTAATATTATTTTAAATAATAAGTTTTGTTAACGTCACGAATCCATTAAGACAGCTTTTAATTAAATTATTAGGCTTGATAAATTAAATCATTAAAACACTTAAATTTATTCGATAATCTATTTCATAAATCAGAATATGTAATAAAACCAGTAAATTAGTAGGTACTTACTCCAAATTCCTGGGAAGCAAATACTTTGTTTTATAAAATGTACCTATATGCACAAAATGTATTATCTGGGATACAACCATTTTGTATATAAATTTATATGTAGTAATTTATATCTCCTTTAAGTGTAAATCACAACACTCTTGTTTCTCAAATATAACTATAGTTGGAGCTTATATCGTTTAGGTACCTCCACGATTTCAAACAAAACGGAACCCTTTGGGTATTGGGATATAATATCATCGAATTTTAATATCGTTATCGCATTTAATTTGTAATAAAGTCATTACTCATTACTATGACAGTACAAATATACACATTTTGATACTGCTCTGGTAACATCGACATGGTATAGTATAGTATACTAATCTATACGTATAATTTGTATGTTTATGCAAGTATACCGTATGACTCAAAAAGCATGCTCATCCCTAATTTTATTATTTTTTATTTAATCGTGCATTTATTTAGATTCTGGTTTTTGGTATTCTTAAACATACTAAAAAAGACCACATGTTTTAAAATTCTTAAGAATTCTTATACTACATGTAGGGAGAGCCCTGATGAGTCCGAATCTACAAATTATGTAACCAGGGGCCTAACATAATATTAGAGCCCCTAAAAATTAAAATAAAAAATGCATGTGTCAATTAAGATGTAATAAAAAATATGAGTTTAAAATTTGAAATTTGCATCCCTCTATGATTAGAGTCCGGGACCCACGGGGCTCTGATCGCCTCCCCTAGATCAAGTAATGGCCCTGCCCCGATGTAAACTTCTGTTATTCACATTGGAACACTTGAATTTAAAAAAATAAGCACAATATACTTTAATTTTTTATATATGATATATTAATACAAAAAAAAACTATGATTACACTATAAAAGTTTAAACCACAATTTTACGCAAAATCGGTTTTCTACAAAATCGATTTTATTTTTGGTTTAACTCTAAAACAAATGAACGTATATTCATGAAATTTTCACTAGTAGTTTATGTTTGCATTTTCTACACACGATAAAATTTTCAAAATATTTTCATTTGTTTTAAACTGTTTACTAACAATTCCAGTTTCCAATTTTATTAGTCTTTTTTCTACGAATATCAATATAACTTTATTTGTTGTGTAAAAAATCTTGAAAATTTAACACAAGGCTCCTACTATATTGTTACAATAGCAGTCGAAAAATATTAAAAATCCTTAGTCACAATTTTTTTTTATAAGTGTTTAAAGTTCAAATCTTGACAAATTACGGAAAAATCACGAAAATTAGCAAATTATTATGAGTTGAGAATTCATAAAAATTGTTCTTTGTAAATCTAAGATTTGAAAATGTAGTACAAGATTACTCATAAGTTAATCTACATTTATCAAAAAAAAAACTTTACTTGCAATAATATCATCAAATATACTTAGTAATGTCATAGGCTGACTCGCCGTTTTCGCTCAGAATCGTTTTTCTTATTCAATGATATTATATCATTGAATTCAAATTTAACACCATATATTACAGCGACCCACTTGTAATCTAATGTACGGCAGAGCGACTTTTTATATACTATTATATACTTAGTGTTTATGTTTTTTATGAGTGTTGTGCGTGTCAATCGTTTATATTATAATGCCCAAAATATTATTTCAGATATTCTGGTATTTCTGGTATAAAAAGAAACAATTATAATGGGTTAGGTTGAAGGGAAGTGAAGCGTGGGTACCAACACTTAATTATTCTAGAAATTATAGTTAAGGAAAGTTGGTACAACATTCATTGTTTCATTCATTGTGGCGGCCTCTCGATATGTATCGATCCATACAGATTTCCCACCGTGACTCTAAAATCACCTCATGAATTGGGTTGTTAACATCATCATCATCATCATAATAAGCTTATAGTATACGCTAATAATAATTACACGTTTTGCAAGCACACAGACTTAATGATGCACACATCTTTTATTTTGTATATGGGCTGTTGTATAATAATATAACGCACTCTGTATAAACCTATTCGGAAGTCGTGTCACTGTGTGTGTTGTGTAAGCTGAGCGGTCCCTCCTCTTTTCCTGGTCCTATATGTGCGTGTACGGATCATTGACCGGAGTTGTAAGTGTTTGTTATGTTAGGTTTACACGTGTGCCAGTGCCTTACACGAGGACCATTATTACAATTTATTACACACACATTCCTGCAGCTGGTTGTCCGACCGGTTGTATTAGGTATAATATTATATATCTAATATCATTATGATTATGTGTACACAAAGTACTATTCTGAGTATTTTAATATTATACATGAAAAAAATGATTAACGTAATACATTCGGATGATGAAATTAAATCAATTCAAAAAAACAAAAAGTTATCGATTAATTACATGAGATAAGACTTCTCGGGTTTGTTGATAAGATGAACGTCCTGTGCGTACTGCGTGTATAATATTACAATATAAATTTTAATATTATGATATCTATGTTATAACTGTTTGGGAAAACACTTTTAAATATGAATCGTTTGAAACGAATAGCCTCTATCGTAGCCCAAATGTTTCAATTGTGTATTTTAGGGGTATGAGTGGCAACTCCCCCGTACGTTGAAAACAGTAGATTTAGTCCCCAAACCAAAACAAAATATATAATTTTCAACTATTTGAAATCCTTTAAATATGAAAAGTAAAATTATGTAATATATTTTTAAACTAACATTACCTACATTGCTTGTAGGTATAGTGTATGTTTACAAGTCGTCTACAATAACATACTAACTTACACATTACGTCGCTATACGTTTTAATAATATTATGACGTGTAATATAGGAAAACTAAAATTGACCATAATATTAAATGAAAAAGTAATATTCAAATCCGTTTTAAAGAATTTCTGATTACTTTTATGTTAAAAGTTAAACTATATTTGTATACTTATACTTATTACTTTGTATACTTAAATATGTTTTCGTGCAGTTTATTCAAAAACAATTATTTTCAACATGAAAAAATAGGAGACCTTTAGACCTTTAGTATCCAAAACTGAATTTTATGTTTTGTACTCTTAGTTATTGTAGTGCGGACTACGAGGGAAGGAACATAAAAATAACCACTATATATAAGCATTTTACATTGAACCGATTATTCTTATTTAAGTACTATTGAGTTAGTTTACTTCATGAAGGAGTTTGTTTTTACATATTATATAGCACAACAATATACACACTACACTGTGGTAGCACCCACTACACTACAAGCAGGAGTCACCCACTATCCCAACCTTGTTTCCTTTAATACAAAATTCTTTGTTTTTTAGTAAATTTTCCTGTCGAAC